CCCTTCCATGTACCCGTACTAGTTTTGGTTCATCGTTCTTTATCATGGTTAAGCAGAAATGCATGCAGAATTCCAGATGAGGTTTTGCCAGGCCCGTGCATAATTACACGGGGGCTTCTCTCTTTAAGAACAGAAATACACAAATAAAGAAATAACCTCATTACTACACATCTGAGTTCCTATTTAACTTCTTTTGTGCCCCGCTGCATTGGTGCCTCAGTTACTGACTAATATGCCTTTGCTTGTTCAGTCCATTGTCATTTCCCATTGATGAGTCTTCACCTTGTGATGGAAATTCTTGTTAATAGTTTTTCAAGTTTGTAATTGTATACTTTGCATTGCGCCAAGGTGCTAGATAATCTCATCTAGGTTCCCTTTCCCATAAAACGTAGGACCACAGGAACTTTTGAGGTCCCTTTGAACCTGGACTGTTCTATGATTCTATGATTCTGTGATTAATTATCATGGCATTTCTGTTCTCTTCTGCAAGCTCATGCAGTTTCATGATATTTCAATCTCCTTCTGTACTAATAGTTCCTTTGTATTCAAAGTCCTTACCAAAGATACCAAACGAGTGGTCTACAATCAATCCTCCATGACCTCCAATTATAAACATTTCTTTAGCCTGATGGCTTCCTTTTCAAAACAAACTATTGCCATTTTCATTCAGCTATTTACCTGTTTATTTTTCAATTCTTGGACTATTTCACATCATCTCCAGATGAACCAATTGTATCTTGTATAGCATTTCATCAAATTTAAGCAGAGTCTTGTTGCTTATTGCTTGTCCTCAATTATTTTACCTAAGACAGATAACAGTTAGTATTCTCAAAATTTGCTTTACAATGGGAAGACAAATGCTAAGAGTTTGCTTATCCCAAGAGAGATTACTTATGACCCTTGCTTAGAACCCTTAGTTTTGACATTTTAATAATTTTGAATAATGAAAACGTGACAAGTTCATTATAAGTCAGTTAAAAAAGGAGAAAGTTGTTCTATTGATTGGAGACCTCTACCCAGAACTGAGTTCTGAAGGCAGTGGTCTGTGGTGGACTTAACTGGACAGTACCTGGATAAGTGCAGCAAGCTGTACTGGCAGTCTAGAAAGCTTACTGAACACATACAATAAAACCTCCTCTAATGCAGATTTAAAACAAACACACCTATTAGAGATACCATTTTTCTATTTGGCTACGTGAAGAAGCTGCTTTAGGATGAGATAAGATGTGAAACTGAAGCACAGTAGTCATTCAGTACTAACTCCTCAAATGAATGCTTTCATTCTATACCAGGACAGCCCTTTGCGGTTTAGCTTATCCACTTCTAAAGAGAGCTATAATGATTCTCCTAGAGCAGACCAAACACATAACTAGTAGAGAACAGGTTATTTGCAAAAGCTATGCCAGCTATTTCCAGAATGGTCAAGCCCTTACATTTGACACCATGGTTTACAAATTCTACAGTGGGAGAAGAAATTCCTCCTCTATTCTTAGGGATTTTTTTCCATAGGAGCTATCTAGGAAAAAACCTGAATGAGTACTAGAAAAGGAGCGTGCAATCCCAGGGATGATTGTTACTATGGTTTCCTTATTTAGAACTACCACTTCAAGTTAGTCTGTAGTTACTCTTGGGTTAAATATTACTCAAGTTAGTGAGCATAGTGCCACACGTCCTCTGAGGCAGCTGTGGGACTGTTTCTGCTTCTAGTGAAATCAATGTAAAATCCATGTTCCTGCGAAGAATTAATCCAAATTCTTTCACTCCCCTGTGGCTGTGTGCCCAAACCACATGCCGTATGTACTTGTAAAATGTTTCTCCAGTGACCACTTGACAGTAACCCGGGGTTTAAAAGAGAAAACTCCTACCCTCCTATAAAGAGAAGAACAGTAGTCTTTGTAACAGTAAATAAGCCCACCTATTCTCCTGCTTATCAGACATGCTTCCTTCCTGTGACAGGAATTATATCGCTGCACTTATGGGAAGAAGAGAAAAGGGATTTTTTTTTTAAATGGTTGCTTTATCTATCACTTTCACTGAGGCAGAAATTCTAGACTGATTCACAGATGGAAACCCCAAATGCCATGCAGCAAAGCGTTCATCTATGGACAGGAAACAGTATGGGTTTTATAGGCTAGAGTAAAGGTTATGTCACTTTTAAGTACATTTTAAAAGATTGCACAGACACTTTCCTTAATATTCACCTGACAAAACCAGCCACACATAAAAACCTTTAATCATATACAGGGTGTACCAGTGAAGTTCAATTGCTGTATGCTCCTACAGATTAGCCTTGGTCTTCCAATACCAATAACATGAAGTGATGTTGTCACCAAGCTACATAGGAACAGAAGGAAACAGGAAGAAGGAAAAAAAGTGGCATTTGAAATAGAACGGTGAGAGGATACAAAGGCTACTGCAAACACCAAATGCAGATGAGATCAGCAGCTATTACAGAAGGAGCAGTAGACGACAGTAAAGGGTGCCAGGGAAAAAACCAGAAAGTCTGTAGAACAGGCTGGTTTTTAAAAGGTGTATTTTCAGCAAGACTCTGGATGAGAACATGAAGATGCTTATAGATGCTCACAGATGTGAATGTAAAATGTCAGTGGGAAGGACTCTCTTGAGGTATAGTAGTTGTTCTCTGTTATACTCACACTAGCAGTTTTGGGAAGCTTGACTTTGTCTTTCTGTTAACTTTTCTACCTTTGAAGGCTAAAATTATCTTTTCAAAATATGATCAATTTAAATCTGGACCAACAACAACTGAAAGAAATGAGTAGACAAATAGCTGAATTGGACCCTGTCTGCTCCTGGAATGAATACTTTTATCTGTGGGTAAATTTGCACTGAGCATTTTGCTTCTTCATTAAAGTCACAGAAAATACAAAAAGGAAACCCACACTAACCAAATCTAGCCAAACTGTAACCTTCATTGTGAACCTAAGAGGCAAAATCCAGCTTTCTTGGCAACCCTTATCTACATTACGCATCCACAAACAAGACTGCCATTCACAGTATGCCTCATGTGAACCACCAACTGAACATAGAAGAGATCTTCCCTATATACCTGTGTCTGAAAATCATGTGGATGTAACACAGACCACATCTGTAGGGAACAAGTCAAAGTAACTGGAAACTTTTTGGAGCTAGAATACATCAAGCAGCATTTTAGCAGTTCTTATATAGGAAACATTTTTTGTGATGGTGTAATACCCTGCAGCAAAAGGAGAGGTTTGGATTTGAAAAAGAAATTTCTCTTGCTTCCTTAACAAATGGGCCTTTTCCTTTCTGTTCTCTTTTCTGGTTCCCTATTCATGTAACAATTATCCCAGGCTCCAGAACACACTTTGCGTTTTGAAACTCTCTGTAAGTCAATATCCTTATTAACAGCTCCTGCAAAGAGAGCAATCAGTCTCTGTGCACCATTTGCTTAGGGATACATAAGCCTGTGCTTTAACAGTTCATTGTCCCTTTTGACCCATGATTCAGCTATGACATTAATTCTATAAATGTATCAGAATGTTGGGTTTGTTTGGCTTACGACACTCATTTTGCTCCCTTCTTTTGCTTAGGGTTCCCAGCTGCCTTTGAACATTAATCACACAATGTGCTGTTTGTGAGAGATGCCTCAGTTAATCTGTTCAGCAGAAGAATGATGCATAATTTGGAAATACTGCTGGGAAAACAAGAAGGTGATGCAAGAGATGAAGGAGGAAGAAGCAGCCCAGGCCCCAGAGGGTTCCAAGCCCTCTGTTACTAATGGACATGATGCACAAGCTGGAGCTACATCCTGCAGTTGTGGGAAGGAACTGGTGGCAGTGAGGACTCCTGCAGGGCTCCCAGCCCTTCCAAGGAGTAGCAGCATAACCTTGGAATCACGTTGGCATTGCCAGCACACAACATTGCTGTGAATTCAGCTGTCTTCCCCTGTACACTCTGCACAGGCATTATACAGTTAATAAACCAGTAAACTCCAACGCAGAAACGATGGACTAAAGCTTGCATTGCAGAACAAGAATAGTGCTTACTGAGTGTACAACAGAACTTGGACTATCAAATGTTAAGCTGGAGCCAGTTTCTAGACAGATATTTAGAAGAATAACTCTGTAAGGAGGAGGACTTTACACAGGGAACGAGATCTCTACTTTTTGAAGCATCAGTAAGACAAAAATCTTTAGAAGGACTCTGCTGGGATGGATTGTCTTGGACGAGGTGGTTGTTCTTTCCTCCCATTTTTGAGGGTCTGCAGGGCTCCATAGGAGAGACCACACTTTTACACCAGCCCTGACCTCAACTAGCTGCTTTCCATTCCCAGCCTCACCTCAGCTGCACATACCTTGTTAAGAGATGTGAGATGTCCTCTCTCACTCTCCCTCTGACCTCAGTTGTAATGAATTTTCCCAGAGTGAATGTTGTTCATTTCCATTATGCTTCTCCTTCTCCATTGCACCTCTACCCTGCCCAGATTACACAGTGGCATCTGGGGCCTGAAGGAATGCAGGTGGGTGGATGAAGATGCTTAAGATAGCTTCCTTTCTTAAGGGTGACACAGAGAATTGTATCAAGGACATTATCCCAAATGCATATTTTGAAGTATCCTGAAACTTGCATTTTCATTGGCACCAGATTTTCTTTGCGGGATGACTCAGGACCATGAGAAACTTTGAAGACGACTGAATTTAGGGCATAGCTAGCTTCTACAAATGCTGAAAATTCTCCTGGGGACAACCGAATGAAAAATTTTAAAGAAGCCAACAGCTCATGCCTGTTATCTTGAGTTTCTAGCCTCAGACAACGGAATGAGAGGGCCCTTTAGAAGGTGGAATTGACTACACGGTTTCCCCAATCTTAGCAGTGATTAGCAATGCATCATTCTACTAAAGAAGTTAAAAAAAAAAAAATCCTTTAGACATTTCAGATCATTTTCTGCTGATACCTACTACAATCCTGGTGAAGGGTAAAATTCATCCCAGAGTTGAACTGAAAAAAAATCCAAATGCTGACGTGAGAGAGTTGGCAAAGGAATGGAGCTCTTTATTATCTAAAGGTGCTCTTTGACTGGGAAATACTGCAAGAAAAACACTCTTTGCTGGATCCCAGGCTACAGCATTCACATTCCTAGAGCTTGACACTACTAAGAATCTTCAGAGAAAGTAAACACTTTTTTTTTTTGGCATATTTCTCACTAACATTGTCATAATTGTTCCTTTTTGTGAAGAAAAAAAAAAAGAAAAAGATTAAAGGAAACATAATGTTCTTCAGTGTGGACATAGAACAAAATACTTAGCTAAACTCAATTTGTTCTATCCAAGGATATCATTTACCAGAAGCAATATGCAAGATGAAGGATCAAGATTTGTTAATTTCCAGCAGGTGTATTAAAACAGTAAGTTTTAAAACCTGCTTTATAAAACATGTAGAACCAGCAAACTCTGTCTGCTCTGGGTGGAAGAAAAGCAAACCAATCACCATTAGAAATTGGCTGAGCCATATTTTAGGATATAAAGCACTGCAGAAATCAGCAGGGCTGACTATCTGGGTTATTAAAGAAATAAAGATTGGGAAAACTCATTTGTTATGCACACTTCCAAAGAGGAGATAAGCAAATAAGACAACTGACGAGAAGATTAGCATTAGAGTTTGGATTTTGCCAGTAATGAAAAAGTAGAGATGTTATAAAGGCACTGATTGTTGAAGAAGGTGGAGAACATGGTAAACATAGAACATCTCTTTTATTAACCAAACCTGCTTAGAGAAAAAAAAACCCAGCAGCTAGAATGCGATACAGATGGATGACAAGTGACAAAGGGTTACTGGCAGTGGACGTGTGGGAGAAAGGCATCCCAGCCCAAGGTTGGTACTTTTCCCTGTCTACATTCCATTGCGCGATGGTGGGCTGCACCGTGCTTTGACATTTCTGAATGCAAAATCGTGGCTCAAAGATTCAACCAAACAAGAAGTCGCATTTCAAATTGTCTATTTTCCGTACTGGTGTTTTTCCTGAGATTCAGAAGGCTATAACACTTCAACGCGGAGAAGAGCTGTGTGGTTGAGTCCAGCCCTCTTCGATGGAAGACCTGCACCATAAGTAGGCAGTTCTTCAAATCTCCGCTGTTAATGGCACTTTCACCCATCACATTTAAAGGCGATCAAGGAGAGCTCTCATCTTGGCAGGCAGCTGGTGAGTGCATCGGGCCTTGGTACGGTCACAAAGTTCATGGTGCAGTGCAATAGTGGACAGATCTTTTCATGATCCTTCAACACTTCACTCAAGTGTTTCATTTCATCTGTTAGCTTTCCGATTTCTCTTTTCAGGGAGGTATTTTCTTGCTCAAGAGACTCATATTCCTGGAAGGAGGCAGAAAAAAAAAAAAAAAAAAAAAAAAAAAAAAAAAAAAAAAAAAAAAAGCCTCATCATAGTCAAAACATTCTTTTCAGTGCTTCCACCTTGAGTATATTCACATAACTGTAGAAAAAATATATGGTTACTTATTATAACGTGCTATATTCTGAGGAAAGACAGACACAGCCTGGGTGCTGGACCAGGGCAAGTGCTTTACAACCTGTGCCCTGATCATGCTATGACTCCTTTTGTGGCCCTGAAGACCAGAAGGCACAGCTGGCCCTCGGGGCTCCCCAGTAGCCCAGGGGGTGGGGCTGTGGGGAGATTGTGTCCCCATGGTGGCTTCTTCCAGTCCTGGGCCACCTCTGCTAGGAAGGGTCAAGCAGGGCAGTCCTCAGCAGAGCAGAGAAAATAAAAGCACTGAGCTCAGGTAGGTGCCAGGAAAACCAGGTGCCAGGCATTGCTGGTGAGGAGAGGGCAGCCCCATGCCAGTGCAGGGAAAGGCCATTTACTCAGGTGCTGGTGGAGATGGACACCTAGCACAACGCTCCTGGTGCAAGCTGGGCTACTCTAGCCCAGCCAGGGCTTGTAGCCACCTGCTCAGATGCCTGGGAACTCAAGAGCAGGAGGAGGGAAGCATCATGCCAGCTTGTTTCTAATCCCACTTTGTCACCAGAAGGCCTGACCACTGCCTTGGTTATCTCTGACCCAAGCCATTTTTGAGCTAAGGGTTTTCTGGCAATGAATAAGCTGCTATTAACTGCAGGGGAGTTTTGAGATGCTCTGCACCATACATCTGTGACGGATGTGAGACTCACGTGTCACATTTTTTGATAACTGCATGTTTCAAGTGTCCCTTCTGTCAAGATTTCTCATCCCAAAGAGAAGAGAGCTAGAGGTTCAGAGCCAGCCCACGGAAAACCTGCAGGTGTCTGCACCTCGCTGCTGGCCTAGGGCTCAACACTCACCCACTCAATCTCACCTCCCTGGGAAAGCTTCAGACCAGACTTCAAAGCCTACTCATGCCTTAAAAGGCCTGTTTACCAGGCAGCAGGGAGAGTCTCTCATGCAACGCTCCTCTGGGCAGCCTGGCACTGTCTCTGCTGCCCTTTGCTGCAGGAGTTTGGATCCCCTTGCCCTCCCTCACGCCCTTCCACCACCCATCACTTCCCACCCACAGAGCAGAACAGGCACAGTCCTCCTACCACATTGTTGAGGCCAACTCCAGCAAAGTTGTTCCCCCCTGACCCTGGCTCTGCTCACCTCTTGTTGCCCCAGACCCCATGGGGTTTGGTTTTGGAGCAAGTGTTACTCTCCCATTTCTCTGTCCGATTTTCAGGGATGAGACTCTCAAATTGTTCTTGCTAAGAACAAATTACTATTCACCCAGATCTGCCCGCAGCTGAGAAAACCTGCATGCCCGAGAATGAAGATTCCCAGCATGAAGAAGATCAAGTCCAGGAGGAACACCAAAGAGGCTGCAGAACGAAACGATTCCACAAAATAATTTCTGCCCAGAAATGATTCCACAAAAGCCAGGGGTTACCCCTTTCCAGAACTACCCTGCACCTGGCTTTCTCAGGTGCTGAGTCAGATGAGATCTGGGAAAAACCAAACCCAAAACTCCCCACGCTGTCCCTCTTGGCCTCTGCTGACTATAGGCAGATCCTTCCACACTGAGAAAGAGTAAAGCCTGTGAGGAACCTCCAGAGCTGAACAACTGACTCAGCCACAATCGCAGCAGCAGCCCCAGCTGCAACAAGAGCACTGTTGTGTGAGGTAACATCCAAAACCAGAGAAAGGGGATTCCTGTCCTCCAGCCTTTGCACTGAGGACACAAGAAAACTACACCACATTGTGATATTGAGAAGAAGTATCAAGAGTTTCTGGAAGAATAAGTTACTTTCATGGTTTTTTTGGAAACACCCACTGTTATTTATCAGAGCATACAAGTATAACAGCTAACTGAGCTGAGCTCTCACACTCGGAGGTTTTGAAGTTCCTGAGAAACCTTTTCAACAGGGTATTTCTTTCTCACACCACAGTTTTAGAATTGACTTAAGCCAGCACTGCCACTAAGCAGCATGGTCCCTCCTCCTCCTCCTCCATCGCCTTCTTTCTCGTAAGGCAGCGAGCACGCATCCCCCACCACAGCAAACGTGACAAGCTTAATGCTAATCCAGAAGAAAATGGGTTTGTTTTAGCCCGGAGGAGCCCTGTGATCCAGTTCACTGGGTGGTCACAAAAGAGGGCAGGTGAAGTGAGGACAGGACCAGGTCTCTCTCTCCCTGGCAATGTCACTGATGGCAAAGCTGCACCATCCAACACCACCATCAGTGTCTGGGAGCTCCCCACCAGGAACCCCAGAGCACGTCTGTCTCTGCCCCACACCCACAGCTCTCTGAGCTGGATTAGCGTGAGGACAGGCCCACATCTGCTTAACAAGTCCCATTTATTGTAAAGTCCCACGCTCGGTACCCAAGCCGTGCCTGCAAAACATCAAGTACCCATTCACCTCGTGAAGTTTGTCTGCTTTCTGAGTTTGCTTCTTCCGGCTCCTCTGGGCAGCAACTCGATTTTTTTCTCTCCTCCTTACCTTCCTGTCATCTTCTTCGTGACTCTGAAAGACATAAGTCAGAAACACCTCGCTGTCTGTCAGGGCGCACGCAGAGACACCCCAAGTCAGGTGTGTAAGGGTTTCTGAGCACATATTCCCAATTTCCCAGCAGCTGTCCCACAGGGCAGGGTGCCTGCGAAGGGCAGCGCATCTCCCTGCCCTGCGGCGCGGGTGGGACCCCAGGCGGAGGGGTGGAAGCCCCAGAGATGCTGCAGCGCCTCGCTATACCGCTGAGAGGGGAACCTGGGGCACCCCAGTCACCCACGGAAGGGACTTGCGCTCCCGCTCTGCAGCGTTTTACACCTCCTCGGCCCCGGCGCGAACGGGGAGACGGCGGTGCGGGGAGGGAAGCCGGGGTCCCCGGGCAGCCCCGCTCCCCTCCGGCCTGCCGGCGGCGGGGGAAAAGCCTCTGAACCGCGGCGTGTGCCGGCGGCGGGGAACTTCTTTCCGCGCACCGCCCGCTCTCCTGCCGGCGAGGACCGGCACCCTCCCCTCCCGGGAAGGGAAGGGCCGATGCCCAGGGGAGGAGGGGGGGAGAACGGGAACCGGCGGCGGTGCCCGGCGTGAGTCAGCCCCATGTGCCCGCCCCGGCCCCCCCGCCCGGCCCCTCCGCCCGGCCCCTCTACCTGCTGGCTGCCCTCGGCCGCCGCGCTCCGAGGCAACGCGCTGCCCCCCGCCGGGACGGCGCACGACATCCCGCCGGCTGCGGAGCCGCC